CAAGCATCTAAACGATATTCCACCTTCCTAAATCGCGTTCTAATTAGCATACTAAAATAATGATTTAGTCCGTGAGAAGCCACACTTCTTCCGATTTAGGACGCTAATTAGGATTCTAACTTCCTAAATGCTATTTTCACTTGAATGAATTAGTTACTGAATGATTTAGAAAGTCTGAATTTATGCGCTTATTCCACTTGACTAAATTCAGACGTTCTAAATCATTCAGGAACTAATTCAGTCAATCTATGAACTTTTGGCTATTGTGCCCGTCGGGTCTTTAATTCCACGTGTCATGAGCTATCATCTCCCAAAGTTACAGAAAAATTGGCCGAGAGCCAGCTTCCATAAGGATTCTGCGGGGTCCTTTGACGATGACGACATGATTACGGAGCCGTCAAAATAATAATAATAATAAAGTTATTTATTTTCACGACAAATTACAAGTGTTCCCTCGCAACACTCAGTGGATGCATACATTGATTTTCTAATATGAAGAGGTAATCGTTGACAGCTGACCCAAAGACAATTTTACATAATTTTGGGTCTCATTAAAATTCGTTCTTGGACCACAGTAAAATTTCACTATCATCATTTGTATGTATTAAATTATTAAAATCCTCGATGTCTTGTTTCAGCAATGAGATTATACCTTGTTCGTCCTACCCGGATAAGAATATGGCCGCATGGCGAGATGATTCGTGCGCTCCCAAACGCGACTACGCCAAGCAAACGTACGACGTCGTTTCTGACGACATTTGGTTCAAACGATAGAATCAAACTGCAAATATTTGTAAAGATTCATAAGCAGCCTCAATTATAAGTTTTCTTTCTCAATACCACGAGGAAATTCGTCAATAAAAACATAAGTGTATAATTCTAATAATTTATTTACTAGAACATGAACTATGCTTAATTTAAAAATGTTGTGTTTCTCGATCTTGCTAAGGCTTTCGATACCGTTGACATGTTTCATTTTATATATAAATTACAGAGTATAGGTATATCCAGCACAGTGCGTATGCATCTCGGTGATATTTGGGTGATATTCCTTACCGTCACGTCGAAAGAGCTGGCTTTTAGGACAATATAAACGGCATACCTTAAGTTAGTATTCTAGGCCCTACGCTTTTTATCCTTTATGAATACGACACTTTGCCCATATGCTACATCTTTGAGGCCCCGGTTGCACTACCAAAGCGTCTGCGACGGAAACCTTAAGGTGAAAAGGTTTGTTTGTCTTTCACGCTACGACTGAACAGAAATGGACGAAATTTGGCATATATTTCATGTCAAATATGGAACAATACAAAAACGCTGCACAGAGCTGCACTTCATCATAACTTTGCAGTCCAGCATAGCAAAAATATCCTACAATCTCAGAATATTATATAGTGGGTTAGCCCAAATAAAATATAAAAAAAATAAAACAAGAACATCAGTTATACACTTTATTGTACATACAAACTAAACTGTAATACATGTTTCATAATTTCGGTAAAAAACTGTAAAATACACCGCTACAGATAAACGATAATAGATTACATCTAATGATGAAATAGACCGTTTCGTGTCTATAGTGTCCTTGTAATAAATAAAATTCATTCGGAGTATGCGAATCTGTACTCCACTAATCGCACATCTAGTTCTCAAGTCATAAATGTCAAACGATCTATAATCGAGTTAACAATGCCGGAAATTTTTCCTCATTTTGATATTAAAATTCATCGAGTGATCAAAGGTGTTCTATTTTTTAATTAAAAAGCTGTGTAATATACCGACACTGTTTTTAAAGTAGTAGCTCAAAAAGTTACGCGCCATGATCTTTAAAGCGCTTTACTCTAAAATTAAGAAAATTACATTTATGACTTTAAATAACAAGCTGTGCGTAATGAAGAACAAGTTAAGACACAACAATTTGGTTCAAGATCGTATGCCACTGTAGAATCAAATGGTGAACAAATGCCGCTCCTTGACAAACACAATTTAAATAATGCATTAGTTACATTTGTCCCATGAAAATAAATTTTAATGACCTGAATTTTCTTAAGAGGTTGTCTTTGTTTCATCAAATTATAAATATCATTATATTGATGCGAACTAAACACTGCGCTTAGTACCTAAAGACCTTAGAAATAATATTTTATCATTTTATCGTGCATTAATTTCACTCGAAAAGATTTGCAATACTGTTTACACAATACAAAAATCTACTATCTCATACAGTAATTAAATATAATTAATACAATAATAATAAAAAATCATACAGTCGAATTGAAAACCTCCTACTTTTAGAAGAGATACTTTTACTATTTATCTATTACAAGGACACTCAGAATAAAAAAAAAACAATGTCCAAAGCAAAGTTGCACATTAAAACAACAACAAAAGATCCGTTATCAACAAATAAGGATTTAATACCGTTATTAATAAAGCCCAAATTTGCTTTGAACAACAATAGTGATGATTACATGGTTAATGCAATAGGTGATAAGATGCGACACTACAATATAGCTAACTTACTTTCTAATAAAATTGAGTACAAATGCTCTCATTGGATTGGGATTTGCTGCTAACTTGATCAATATCGAGGGCGATGAGAAAGTAGTGTATTGGACTATTTGCTTCAAGACATTCATAGGATAGTTTATGAAGTTACGAGTTTTGGCTTAGCGATGAGCGCAGCCAGGTTAGTCACCATTTAGAAATTTGAAAAGTCTCAGCAAAAATTGTGCATTGCACAATCAAACGCCGCTATCATAATAAATGTGCATAAGAAACTGAAGGCAGAATGTTAAAGCTGCGTTTCCACTTAAACTCAGAACAGTTCTGAGCGAGCAAATGTTTGCTCGCTCGTCAAATGGGAACATCAGAGCGAGCGAACGAGTTCGTACAACGGTGTTCGACTGGACTCACGGAACGAATGCTCTCTTGAGAATCATCAATGGAAACAACGCAACATTAAATAATAAATATTTTCAACACTCACACCAATTAGCCTAGCCCCAAAGTGAGCACTGCATGGTTGTGCTATGGGATACTAGGGTAACGGAAATAGAGAAAATACATATTAAAGATCCATGACTGAGTACAAATGCTCGTATTCATCACACAAACATCTGCACCCACCGGGATTCGAACCCGAGACCTCTTGAGTTGGCGACACCATAAAACCCGGCGTACATACCACTCGGCCACTGCGATCGTCAATGTTTTGAGTATTCCATTTACTGAGCAAACAAATGTTTGCTCGGTCAGAACTGTTCTGAGCACTTGGTGCAGTATTACAGTTGTTACCAACGTCATGTCAAATGTTAAAAGACGAATTGTTTTTAACAATAAATACCCTGAATATTATTGGCTTACATAGAAAATGATATTCCTATTCACTAACGCCCAAGAATATTATCAAACAAAATTAGCAACAAATATCCTAACAACCAATTTAATATCCAAAATTCCCAACTACGAAAATGTAAGAATATTATTACATACCTATTAGAAAAATCCATTTGTGGTTTAAAAAAGTAAGAAAATTTTAAATACCCTCAATTTAATGTCATGTTATATCTTATTTTGCTACGAAATTAAAGACGAAATTGTAAAGTGAGCTAATAATACGAGATTGTTTTTAGTAGACTTCATCAAATGCCTCAGTAAAATCATTTCATATTTAAATGCAAACTTACTTTGTATGTACAATTAGATGAAACCAACGAATTAGAATTGATATGGAAGCATTACTCTCTAACAAAAGTCGCTAAAACATGGTTCTAAACTTTTTCAAGTAAACATCAATACTAACGCGACACACAAACAGACAAAACAAAATACTTTGACAATTCAAATATCTGCAAATGAATTCGACTATCCATTAATTGAGTATGATAATATTAAACGAACTTAATAGTGGATTGCGTGGAACCACTTTTTAGAGCAGTTCTTATTCCTTATTATATATAATTCGTTGGACTCATCTAAGAAATGCAATATATTTTAGATTTTATCAAATGCTTTAGTTGAATCATTCTCTCGAAAAGACTTTATGAAACGCTTAATATTTGCAAGAAACGCGAACTTTTGGATACCATCAGAGTTTTGATGATTACGTACATAGAACACATGATATGACAAGAAAAAAAACTCCTCCTTAGGGATAATAATGATGAACAAACATTGCTGGAAAAAGAACCGTTTGGATAATATTTTTAATCCACTAACTTATGTCCGTAGATAACAAGATTTCATATTATTAGGCTCAATTACATCTAAAATGTAATAACAATTTTATAGTGCGACAAAGGTCTTTATGAATGTGGCGAAAATTAGAACTAACGCCATCGTCTTTGGAAACGTCATACTTTTTATGTCATTTACATAGACAGTGAAGCCCCCCTTGAACTGTCACTCACATTCATAAAGATTTAAAATATTACTGTACGTAAAATCAACTATTTTTTGTATACTTAAATGATTATCTGTCTTAAAGCATACAATAATAAAATTATAAGATTATAAATATTCTTTAATATAAATGCTTAATACTTTTCGTGTTTTTTTTAAGAATACGATTTATTTATTTTTACTATGAACGCTGACATATTGATACAAATTTAAGTTTCAGAGAAAGGTTATATTCAAACTCAGAGCCGTCAAGTAAATTAAATGCTTGTTAAGATGGCGGGTTATCTAACTTTGCTGCTATGGAAAAGAAAGTGATAGCAACAAATTTAATTAAACTCTAAACAATATTTGACATTGTGGGTTTACCTATAATGCGAAGAGATGGCGCTGCCTTGCAGCTTAAGAATAGCTAGAAAGAATTTCGACGCGGTCCGTGAGGGCCGCGGTAGCATAATTGGTCAGTGCATTCGCCCGGATTGCGAAGGGTGCGGGTTCGAGTCCCGTCTGCTGCCTGGTCCGCGTGGAATTTTTCTAGTTATATTTTCATTAGATTTAAACATCAAGCAGTTACATGCTTTAAAAATAACAAAAATTATATCTAAACAATATTGTTAACTTTGAGTGTGGATGTAGCACATATTTATTTTAAATATTTACGACTTTCTATTAAATCCATTTTACATTGCAACTTCAGAGATACCACAAGGACCAATCTTAGAACCCATTTTATTTAAGAAATACAGTTATTTAACGGATAAAACTTAGAAGTAAAAACACAATTTGGGAGTTCCACAAGGAATTATTTTGGGATCAATCCACTAATAGTTTATTATATTTTTAATTTTTCATTTATAAATCTCAAGGAAAATTTACTATTGTTGAAGGTGCGGTTTCGAATCCCGTCTGATGCCTGGACCGTATGATGGATTTTTCGAGTATTTTTTTTTATAGATCTACTAATAATATTAATGAAGTCATTATATCAGCGCTCATTTTCACTTAATACTAAGGTACAATATACGCTTATAATACTAAATCTAATAAAATTTGGCTGCCTTTACTGTACACAAGTACATTTAATAACGCATGAATTATTGATTTCTGTCTTTGGGCAGAAGAAAAGGGTTCTAAAAACAGAAGCGAGAGAATGAATCTCTTTTATTTGTAGTGATGGTAATTCAAATGATTTTTCTAACACCATTTTTATTATGTCATGTAATGAGGCGAGAAAAATACTGCTCAACTGAAAACTGTGCTCAACACAAACAAAAAACAAAGAACTTGGGGCAGACCACCAGCTCCTTGGTAGTCCACCGTGGAAAGAGATTTAAAATCCCAAATAATATACCGATTACAACCCGGGACAGAATAGCCAGGCGCAAATGCACAAGAATGACCGACTCCAAATAAAGATGTTATAAGGGCAGTTAAAAGAAGAAGAGAACCATTTTTATTACGAACTCTTTAAAAATAAAGAGTGATGTTGATTACATTTAATTATTATAGCAATAAACAGACCTTTTTTGGTTTTCCATGAAAACCATGTAATCCTTTTCAGACTCCGTGATCAATCACGTTAAATTTTCTTTAGTTAAAAATGATTGTAAGATTTTTTTTCCGCTAAGTATTTCTTTTTCATTTCCTCAATAATTTAGAACCGTATTAAAACAAACAACCAATAGCTCGTTAAAGGTTAGATGCTAAACATACTATTTTCACTTAAATAAGTTTGTTGCATTAGATAAATAAATATTTCCAACACTCACACCAATCAGCCTAGCCCCAAAGTAAGCAGTGTAAGGCTTGTGTTATGGGATACTAGGGTAACGGATAGAATACATAATACTGTACATATCTTTATATATATAATTCTTCTGTGAGTGTGTATGTCACTGAACTTCTCTTAAACGACTGGACCGATTTTGATGAAATTTTTTGTGTGTGTTCAAGGGGATCTGAGAATGGTTTAGATTCACAATTTTGTCCGCTGGACAACCCCTATTTTTTTAGGGCGGTACGAAGTTCGCTGGGTCAGCTAGTATAAGTATATTTATATAGAAATACATAATAATCATCCATGACTGGAGTACAAATGCTCGTGTTCATCACACTAACATCTGCCCCCCCCCCGGGATTCAAACCCGGGACCTCTCGAGTAGGCGACACCATGAAACCCGGCGAACAAACCACTCGACCATGGAAGTCGTCATTCGGAGATTAATAATCCTTTAAAACTTCTTTCTTTACCATCTCAACAGAATGCGACAATAGGCCACATGTTAGATATTTAATCATCAGCCTATTAATGTCCCCACTGCTGGGGCACAGGCCTTCCCTACGGATGGGATAGGGAGATTGGGCCATGAGCCACCACGCGGGCCCAGTGCGGATTGGCGGGTGCTAACGACTGCAGATGCAGCCGGGACCAACGGCTTAACGTGCCTTCCGAAGCACGGAGTAGCTGGAGATAGTAATTTTTGGTCACCTATTTTATTTTAGTAGGTAAGTATATATATGTATATATCTTTGTTACGCGTAATAAAATAGTATATATAGCATACAATCCCTTTTAACAGATTTTCTAATATGTTTTTATAATATCAAATATTTTAGTTGCATATTCTATGCTGGTAGTATTTTGGCTTTTATTGGGCTTATGATCCAATAATGGACCACCAAATTGACTTAAGTTCTTTTACAGGTCATTGGGTCCTTTAGTGGGCCAAATAAATCTACTAAATAAAAGGTCTACAAAATATTGTTAACTTTGAGTATGTAATATGGATGTAAGACATTTTTTTCTGTGTGGATTTGTATTGAGTTTTTGTTTACAATTTAAATAACCAATTAATTTTAATTATTTAAGACTTCCTATTAAAATCATTTATCATTGCAACTTCAAAGAAACCACAAGGGCCAATCTTAGAACCCATTTTGTTTAAGAAATACAGTTAGTTAATGGATAAAGTTTCGAAGTAAAATCACAATTTGGGAGTTCCACAAGGTAGTATTTTGGGGTCCACTAATAATTATCCACAAATATTTTTTATTGGGCCTATGGTCAAACAATGGACCACCAAAACTACAGTTCTTTTACAGGTCTCTGGGTCCTTTAGTGGGCCAAATAAATATACTAAAATGTCTTTAATCTGCATTTAAATTAAATAGAAGATTAGTTTCAAATATTAACTACGAAAAGTCATAAACACCATTACACAATTTAAAACCTATAGGCAATATGCTAGTTATATTGTCAGAGACATATCTACTAATGTAACTATAAATATTTATTAAGCTTAACTTAAAATACATATATATGTATCTGAATGATAACATAACATAGGATCAAATATATTATTTCGTTAAAGAATATGATTAAATTTTCTTTCGAATTGGAACTGACAGCAACACATTAAGTTATTACAAAGTGTCCCAATTTCTCAACACATTTTGAACCTTATAGCAAGTATTATCATCCTCAGCCTATTAATGTCCCCACTGCTGGGGCACAGGCCTTCCCTATGGATGGAATAGGGAAATTGGGCCATGGACCACGCGGGCCCAGTGCGGATTGGTGGGTGCTAACGACTGGAAATGCAGCGGGGACCAACGGCTTAACGTGCCTTCCGAAGCACGGAGGAACTCGAGATAGTAATTTTTTGGTCACCCATCCAAAGACCGACCACTGCGAAAGTTGCTTAACTTCGACGATCGCACCCGAACGGGCTATGCCTCATATCAAGTTTTATAGAGCTAAAAATCTGTTAATGAATTTGTCCTTTTTGCAATAGCTTGATATGTCGATGTCTGTACATTATTATGAAATGTGAATATATTTTGAGGAACCAATGTCTTTGCATTCAGTGGACAGTGAAAGTCGGGTAATAAAAACAGCGTTACTAAGATTTCTCGATACTAAATCACATTTACTATGATTGATTTTACTACTTGTATAACATTTATAATATAAAAAACAACTTGTCGGTATTTTCAAAATCTCTATCATGGATACTACCGATAGTGACGGGCAAACTACAATATATAAATTATAAACGTCGATGTCAATGGTCGATTTATTTGTCGATAGTTTTGCAACGGTAGTGCCTTTTGATTCAGTTGCTAGTTAAAAAAAAATACTATACGAATTAATTTTGAAAAAACACAATTTGTGGGTGATAAAATATTTTTTAAAACTAAAAGAATAATCACAAAACGTTGGAATATCTAATACGCAATAAATATGATATCTTAGTTTAACTCTCGTCAGCTGCATCTCAGGTGCCTGTAACAATGAATAAATAAATAAATAATTATGATTTTATTTATTTTTAAGCATTTAACTGCTAGATGTTTAAATCTAAAGAAAAGTTTACTAGAAAAAAATTTGACAGTGTGGGTTACCTACAATGCGAAGAGATGATGCTGCCTTGCAGCTTAAGGCTAAGGCTAGGAAAATTTCGACGCGGCTAATAGGGCCGTGGTAGCATAATGGTCAGTGCATTCGCCCGGATAGCGAAGGATGCGGGTTCGAGTCCCGTCCGCTGCCTGGTCCGCGTGGATTTTTTTTCTAGTAAACTTTTCTTTAAACAAATAATTGTAGGACATTTTACATAGCGACATCCCTTTCTAACTATACTCAAGTAAAGATCAACACTTAGTAGTCATTCTGCAATACGAGCCTTAGACTTAAACATGAATTGAAAATATAACAATATTATAGTCTGTCCATTATATTATTACTAGCAAACCAGTGAACCAAATGTTCACCAAAACCTGATTTAAAAAAAATGTATTTAATTAATTGAGAACTTCGGAGATTTTGTGTGGTTTCGTTTGAAATTCGTGATTTCTCGAAAACCGGAAGTGCTACGTTACTCAAATCCGGTTTGTAGTCTTATCAGACTATTCTTAACTTATAACTTAAACATTCTCTTTATCTATCTCTTACGGTTTGGCCGCTGAAACAGCACCACAGACAAACGGACGGACGGACTTGTCTAATAGATAAGAGATCTTTTTGACAGATCGATCGAAGTAAAAATAGTGACACCCTATCACATAACTCATTCGATTTAAAGCTAAAATCGATTTTATGCTAGAACATTGTTTAATCGATTATAAGTATCGAAATTATTTTAGCTATCAAAAATACTGGTGTTTAATAAATTAAATAATAAAATAAATTAAAATCTCATTAGATCTATTATTTTACCTAGTATATTGACTTTGACAATATACAACAGAATGAACTCGTCATTAATATCGAGGACACATCAGACGATGAGTCCAGTTTGTATGAAGAAGCTGATACGTCAGAATAAATTAAAAATAAACTAAGAAGACATTTATATAATGAACTTTATAAAATGTTATTATATTAATTACTTCGTTTCTACCTTACAATTTGGTTGTACTAGGGATGCGATCCTTTGAAAGATCGGATCGGAAGGCATACGATCCGGTGATTTTCGGATCGGATCGACGCCATACGATTTTTTGCCGGATCGTTACAAAACTTGAAAGATCGGATCGCTTGGATCGTATGAATTAAAACGCGGTTTGTTTACAATAAATTGGGTAGGTACTTACTAAGGTTTCTGTTACGAACTTTATCATTGTTTACATTTTAACTTGGCGGCATTCTTTGCAGGTGGATCCGTTAATCTTATACATTCTATTATTATAAACAAAAGTTGTACCTGATTAGGTGTGACGATTATTGATAGGTTTACCAAATAAAAATCTAAAATAATTTGTCTTATTTATTGTATCCAATCCGATCCGATTTCTTGAAGATCGGATCGACGGCATGCGATCCGATCCGCGGATCAGATCGTAGCATTACGATTCATTACGATCCGAAAAATCGGATCGACGACCCGGATCGCACATCCCTATTGTACTCATTTATTTCTACCGATGATTTGTAATCTATGGCACAATCTTAGTAATCATTATGTGTGGCACATCACTAAGTGGGCGGTACCCGTCCATGAAGTACAATATTATCCCGCGTTAACGTAAACAATACAAAATTTCATGGGCGTCGATCTGTCAAAAAGATAATAATAGAATGGACAGACTATAATCAAATTTTTTACTACCACATTAAGTGAAGTTACGATAATCGGGTGCGGGTTCGAATCCCTTCCGCTGCCTGGTCGGCGTGGAATTTTCTCTAGTAAAATTTTCTTTAGATTTTCATATATTTTCTTTTCATTTTATTTCTATTACTTCTTACTGACTTCGTACGCGTGGAGTTAGTTAGAAATAAAGGTTCACTGCTCGTTCCCCGTAGCACAGTGTTTTATGGAACCAAAAAAATTTACATGTTCAGGTTCTTACATAAATAGATTATTTATACCCTAAAAAAGGCATGAGTTCAATTTACAGAAGTCTAACTCAAATACTTTTTGAGAAAAAAAATCATGAACTTATCGTGACCTTTGACCTATGAAATCTAGAATATTTTTTGATAAAGTGAATATTAACAATATATTTTTTTAATAAATATGTGTCAATCGGGCATAATCAGAGGCGTATAAACGCGTTTCTTTAGCTTAAAAAAATGCATTGGTTTGGGAGCAGCATTTTTTTTTTGTATTTCGTATTTATTGTTTTTTCTCCCTAAAAACGAAAAAGTGGAACCTAGAACTTAGATAGAAATAAACCTACGGATGTGGTCTATCATACATAAATAAGCCACGTGTCACTTTTGCGGCGTTTAGAAGATATTAATTTTTAATTTTTTATGCTAGGGTTGACACCGAGTGTTTTATAGAACCAAAAATATTTACACCTTAAGGTTTTTGCATAAATCAATTATTTAAACCCTAATAAAGGCAAGAGTTCAATTCCCAGATCACTATTTTAAGTAAAAAAAAAGATATGAAGTAGCAAAGTTTTTGAAATTTGCGCATGAAAAAATTAACAATTTAATTTCCTCAAAAGACGGTTCCATATCTGTCCATGAGATATTTGGTGATTCTCAGTTAAGAGGTATGTTCGACGGCTAAGCCAAAAAAAATCATTATATTTGGAAACTATGGTCTAAAATCTTAATAATTTCAATTAACTAAATGTGTTCTAAATTGTCACTTAAAATTATATTCTAAATGTGCATAATTTACTTACAATAACAGCACAAAGAGAAAAAACATCTCTCCCCTGGGTTGTCCCTTAACCGTTTTTTTTCGCAAATCAGTAATTTTTACTTTTCTATCGGTAATAACATGAACCCCGATAACTTAGTTACAGTATGTAACCATTAAATTCATTTATATTTGCACTTTTTATAATAAATATTAATCGCAAACTGTGTCCTCCGAGTTTCGTGTCTCGCCCCCTGGCCTTAGGTTTAGTTAAAAAATCGTATTTGTTTACCATAGTCTGTGGTAGTTTTGACCTTGAAGAGACCGAGAGTCACGTGAAGTTAGCAGCAAGCGCTGCACAAGCCATCCACGCGGCAATTTTTTTGGCCATTTGCGCAACAGTGCTCGATAAGTGCAGCCATGTTGAGTGATCGAAGTATTTACCCTGGTAATTTTCTTTTTCGTATTTATGTGTTTAAATACTACAATATCTATATACATTTATTTTAAATAGTGCTGCAAACCTTTTATTTATTTGTAATCTTTGTAAAATTAGTAGTTTTACGGCAATTTTAGATTTTTAACGAAAATTTCTCTCCCCTGCCATATTTCTCCTGGCTCTTAAGGTGCCAGGCTACTAACAGAACTATAAAAACGATGCAATAGCTCAATATCAGCAATGATAATTTATTAGAGAATGTACAATTGCATATATTTTAGATAATTGTTTCGCTTTATATCGTTATTCCACTAAAATCTGCTTGCACGGATAAGTACTTAAAGTGCATCCTAATATGCGCTCTAAGCGCATTGCAATAAAGTTCATCTTGTCTCTACCCTGTACTCAGTATCTCCCCTGGTGTCTCGCAAAACGAGAATAAATAAAAAAATGACTGATCATCTTAAAATCATATTAAAATCGTCTGTCTTGATAAAAGTAGTGATATGGTTATATAAATATCTACACTTTTTGCTGTGCCACTGCTTCCATACAACCGATTACCTCTTAACTGAGAATCACCCATTTGCCACTTGCTAAGGAATTATTGATGGCATAATTTTGTAATTTTATTTTATTTATAAGTGTCCTAGTTTCCAAGAAATATAGTTTTTTTAAATTTCGATTTTTAATTATTTTTCTCCAAAAATCGGCAAAAGTGGAACCTGGATTTAGTACAGAAAGGTTCTATAAGCCAAGTTCTATCACCCATAAAAAAATCAAATTTCACTTTTGCGGTTTTAAGAAGTTTCATAACTGTCATCAGAATTTAGATAAAGGTCAACTTTCATGATCTAGGGTTGAAAAATATGTCCGTTTTTATAGTTGGCACCCGGTGACAGTAACAGTTCATAAAATCTAAGCTCTTACAACCAATTGATGCAGATCGATTGCCGTTATCAAAAATTAAAATCCTTCCTCCACAGGACAGGCTAAGCCTAGTGTGGGGGCTAGAAATCTGCAAAATTGTTGTGAAATTTGGAAATAAATTATTATTATTATAATTATTCGAAGCAGAGGAAGATGCTGAAGATGAAGATTTTTCGAACGTCGCAAATGAAAGCAACCTAGAATTATTAAACGAAGATGATTTATTTGTATAAAAGTTAAAGCAACACCTCTATGTTGCATAAAGAAGGTGCCGGCAGGTGATGACACTATCCTAGATTGATTTTAAATGTGAATGAATTTCTAAATCCAAAATTTCATCACAATCGTTAGATCCATTTCCGAGAAACCAATTACATACCAAAATATTTATATAGGTACATACAATAATTGCTCGTTTATAGTATAGGATGTGTGTTAAATTTTTTCAAACAACATAGTTTATTTTTTCGTTGCCATTTAGCGTGTAAGGCAAAATTAAAATGTGGTCGTCAAAATTAAAACATAAAGTATTCCTACATTATCACATCTACATTAGGTAGGTAGTATAGTAAGTATATTGTATTCGTCTATAAGTACAACACTTATTCAATTATAATACCAATTATATAAAAATTTAACATTTTCATTTAACTCATAGTTGACCTTTGTGACAACCCTAGATCATGAAAGTTGACCTTTATCTAAATTCTGTCATAACTTCTTAAAACCGCAAAAGTGAAACTTGATTTTTTTATGGGTGATAGAACTTGGCTTATAGAACCTTTCTGTACTAAATCCAGGTTCCACTTATGCCGATTTTTG